CACCACTACTGCTATTGGAAAGGTTGCATCTTATTTGTTTTGCTTTCCTCTCTGTGACCGTTTCTAGATCCATTTTAGACATATTGCTTGCACATATTTACACAAATGCATGGCAATAAATTTGTTTAGAGATCACAATTTTGTCATAGTGATGCATTTGGTACTTTCGTTTCTTTTTGGTCAATCGGATTTGAGATTACTTTTTTTGAGACACTTATCATGATTTGATTTTCATATTTGCATTCTCACAATGCTAAATTTGTTCAACATTTCTCCTTTTATCTAACCTAGTATGAACTTTTTAATTCCTAGGGATTTGCCACTGGATCCGCTGCACTTGTGCCCCTTGCCCTGTTTGGTGCTTTTGTGAGTCGGGCTTCAATTTCAACAGTCGATGTCTTGACCCCCGAGGTCTTCATTGGTTTGATTGTTGGTGCCATGCTTCCCTACTGGTTCTCTGCCATGACCATGAAGAGTGTCGGTAGTGCAGCTCTGAAGATGGTTGAGGAAGTTCGCCGACAATTTAACACCATCCCTGGTCTCATGGAAGGCCTGCCAAGCCTGATTACGCTACTTGTGTTAAGATCTCGACTGATGCATCTATTAAAGAAATGATTCCCCCAGGTGCTCTGGTCATGCTTACGCCCCTCATAGTTGGAATTTTCTTCGGAGTGGAGACTCTTTCTGGTGTTCTTGCCGGTGCTTTGGTTTCTGGTGTTCAGGTATAATTGATTCAACCCTCTTTAACGTTGTACATTTTATTTTCTGTTCGAGTTGGTTGTTTACCTTTCCAGAACAGTTCCTTTTTGGAAGAATATGGTGTAAGAATCTGCTCCTATCTGTCTCATTTTGTAGATTGCAATATCTGCATCAACCACTGGTGGTGCATGGGACAATGCCAAAAAGTATATTGAGGTAAAGAAATTACATCTATGCACTGATATTTTACTAGACACTCCAAGTCTGCTAACTGCCGAGTATGTGCCAGGCTGATGCTTCGGAGCATGCAAGGACCCTTGGCCCAAAGGGTTCTGAACCACACAAAGCTGCGGTTATTGGTGTCACCATTGGTGATCCTCTGAAGGATACTTCAGGTCCATCACTCAATATCCTAATCAAGCTGATGGCAGTAGAGTCGCTTGTCTTTGCTCCATTCTTGGCAACACATGGCGGTATACTTTTCAAGATTTTCTAAGTAGAAAGACACTTCACCAAGCCCTATGGTATTTCCATTCTTCACCAATCTTTCTGCTCTAATTTCCATAAGCATGGGATTTCTTCATTAGTTCTTAGCTAGTCACAGGTTTAGTTTGAAGATGACGATGGCGACCACACCTAGTTAATTAGTTTTCTTTGGTAGACCTAGTCTTTTAGTTGTCTGTAACGTCATTATCCATGTTTAGTACATCATTGTACGTTTATTTTGTTACATGAAGCAAGGTTTCATTTTTATATCTTACATTGGTAGTTGTGGGTTTGTTACTATCATTGTGTCTTTTTCTTTCTGCTCACTTAGTATTTTACAATTTTCTTGTTATTTAGCCTAGTCTAACTTAATATTTATTGGAATGCTTCAAGGAAATTAAAGAAAATGAGCTCAAATAAATGAGTTCCAATTCGCAAACCAAATAATCATTGGATGATTCATTTATTAGAATGGTGCCTTTTTCTTCCGAGCAACAAAACATACCCAATGAAATCCCACAAGTGAGATTTGGCGAGGGTATGTATGCAGACCTTACCACTACTTTATGGAGGTAGAGTGGCTGTTATCTAAAGACCCTTTGCTCAAGTGCAACAATTCTCGGTATAAAGAAGAAGGGACAATGAAGAGAATATAGCAAATAACAAGGAACAGTGCAAAAGTAGCCAAAACAACAATAAAATCACATGATAATCGAAATTTCATAAACAATATACTAGGATAGATTATTAAAAAAATAAACTAGTACCATCACAAACACTAGCCACCCTAAAAAAGACAACACTATACTATCTAGTACTCTTCTACTCTAATATGTGTCCTCCACACCCTACTATCTAGGGTCACTCGGTAACCTGAACCTGCATCTTACCACCTCTCTCCAAAACTTCTTCGCGACACAACATAAAGAAAACAGTGGAAGACATATATAGTAGTACTAAATGTGTGCAGTGTGTAGTGCTCTCAAACCACGCTGGTAAAACTTCCAGTGAGTTTCTGCATAATCTGTCACTTTCTTGTATATCCTTGGTCTGTCCATATTGACTAAGTCATCTTCTGGTCCGATTTCTTTCCCTAATTCAGGTGTGTAGAACATTGCGACAGAGATTCTATCCCTCTCTGAATTACTCACTACCCTATGCACCAGGCCCTTGAATATTCCATTGCTCATTACCTGTCAATTTTATTGTGGAAAATGGAATGTATCACTACAAGTAGTACATGTGCAATCCATAGAATACATGTATATTTATAGGAAAAAAGAAGAGAAAAAAAAACTTCTATATATAGTTACATTGAGCCATAAACTAAGCAACTGCAGGTGTGATCATGGTAGTATGGCGGGAAGGAAGGGACACAGTGGCGTGAGCAGAACTTTTAATAAGCTATTTCGACATTTGAAGAAGTGAATAAATAAACACACTAAGCCTGATAAGATTGACTTATTTTAGGTGCTTTTAAACCAATTTTTTTTGTATCTTTTTATAACAGAGAGTGTTTATGTACCTCCATTTGATCACCCATGAGAACAAACAGAGCTGTAGGATCTTTTGGTACTGTATACCATTTGCCATCCTTAAGCACTTGTAGTCCTACTTCATCTTGCAAAATAATTGTGTATCCTGTTCCATCAGCATGGGGTTTTAAGCCAAGAACCAAATCAGGCCTCTGACATGGCGAGTAGTAGTTAAACCGCGCATGAAGTTGTGCTTGTTTTCCAAATTGTTCCAAGAAGCAATTTTCTTCCAGCTTCAGTGACTTTGCCATAGCTTTAGAGGTAATTTCTGTGACCATTTTCATTTTCTCAGAATAATCTTCTAAGACCTCTCTGCACAACAAATGTAATCAGATGGCTACAAGTATGAGTGAATCACCATTAAAAACGAATAAGCAAAATATTCAAATTTTAGTTTATGGAGGAGCTAGCTGGAAAATTGTCTAACATGCTTATGCTTGAAATCATGATGTTACCATATGTCATGTCATGTCATGTCATATCACTTCGGATTCATTGCTAATTAGCTGCTTATAGAGTCAAATATTACTTGCTAGATCATTTTGTCTATAGACTGTTACTACAGTACTCTAGCTATCTTATAACGTGCAACTGATCAACTGTCCATTTACCTGAATGATATTGGGATTTGTGGCCAGAGGTTATACTCTCTTCTATCTTCAGGGAATACCTCGAGGAAGAGACGATCAGACCAATCAAGAGACTGACCTTGTTCCGGAACAGGATCAGCTCCATAACCTTGAAAATCATCAACTGATTTAGCATACTTGTTCTTCTCTTCCATTGGCTGTTTGAAGAATTCCCTTGAAACTTGGCGGATTTTGTCCAGGAAAGAAGTTTGAATCCCATGTCCTATTCCCTGCTCATCAAGTAAAACTCTTTGAATATCAAGAAAGTTGCAGAGTAGAACGAATTCAGATACAGTATTTGAAATGTCCTAAACCTGAAAACATCCCCAAGAAGATAGAGCTGATTCAAGTTTCTCCAACTCTTCTTCGCGTTCATTATCTGATGTTGTTGAAGAAGACAGGAGGTTTAGATCAATTATAGGAATTGGAGAAGTATCCATGATGTCTTCTTTTTCATCATCATCTTCACCACTTCTGCAAATATAAGGTCCTAGTGGCTCCTCCCCATGAAGGACCATTTCTTGAACTCTTTTTGACAGCAACACCTCTGAGGGTGGAACTGAATATGCAGCCATGCTAATTTTATGATCAAGTTACACTATCCAGTGGGTTTCCAATAAGAAGTTAATGAATTAGACTTCAGGTTCCAGGGTGATAGTATTTATATATAGTAGGCATATACATAAGCAACACTTAAACTTTGACCTTAGCTGGCAAGTAATTAAGCACTCCAACTTTGAGACCAGACACCTCAACTCGTCTCCACTCTATCAGTCAAACACTCTAACTTACAAATGTTCATTTAGACACGGATTCATGTGTCACATCAGTGTGGATGTCCACAAGACACAATGAAAACGAATTGGAGTGTTTAGTTGTCAATTGAGACTTGAGATCAAGTTAAGATGTCTAAACGTGTTCTCTTAAGTTGAAGTGTTTACTTACCGGCTGAAGCCAAATTAAAGTGTCTATTTATGTATTATGCATTATATATGTGTTTCTAAACAGAAGATAGGGATTGAACGTAAGATGAGTTCCACACAGCTAGCAAAGACAAATGCAATTGTCCCTACATGTGGAGGCGCCTGCAGACTTGCAGCCATGTTCATCCAAAACTTCTCATACTTGTATTTTCCCTTGGGAAGAGATATTTGTGAGGAAAAGGAATTGTAGCCAAAAATTTATACTAATAGTTAAAAAGTAAACTAAATATTTAATGGTGAATCCATCTTGTACAGTTGCGAGTGGCCTAAAGTTTTTGAAAAATCAAATATCTATTTATGGGCAAAAGTTCAAAGAAGAATATTTGTTGATTTATTCTACTTTTTTTTGTCCTACCATATAGTATGACAGTTGTCTATCGTCATGGACCTGTTACAGGGAACAAAGCCAATTGAAATAAGTCACAATTTCTGAGCTACTACTGTGGTTTTTCCTTTAAATGTGCTTATTGTGCACACATTTGTGAATATTTTTTCTTCAAAGACCTCATGGATTTGATATTTTAGACTTTAAACGTGTATGCAGAAAACCTGAGCTAATGTGCAATGCCTTTTTAGTTCATTTTTTCTATTGCTGAATCCTTGTCTAACTTAATATTGGAATGCTTGAAGGAAATTAAAGAGAATGAGCTCAAATAAAAGAGTTCCAATTTGCAAACCAAATCATCATTGGATGATTCATTTATTAGAATGGTGCCTTCTTCTTCCGAACATGAGGTGAAACAAATGTAAAGCCAAAATTGGAGTTGTAGACTTTCTATCCATGCCCAAACAACATGAGGAAGACATGTATAGATAGTAGTTCTAAATGTGTGCAGTGTGTAGTGCTCTCATATCACGCTGGTAAAACTTCCAGTGAGTTTCTGCATAATCTGTCACTTTCTTGTATATCCTTGGTCTGTCCACATTAACTAAGTCATCTTCTGGTCTGATTTCTTTCCCTAATTCAGGCGTGTAGAACATTGCGATAGAAATTCTATCCCTCCTTGAATTACTCACTACCCTATGCACCGGGCTCTTGAATATTCCATTGCTCATTATCTGCCAATTTCATTGTGGAAAATGGAACGTATTACTACAAGTAGTACATGTGCAATCCATAGAGTATATGTATATTTATAGAGAAAAAAAGAGAACTTCTATGTACCTCCATTTGATCACCCATGAGAACAAGCAGAGCTGTAGGATTTTTTGGTACTGTATACCATTTGCCATCCTTAAGCACTTGGAGTCCTACTTCATCTTGCAAAATAATTGTGTATCCTGTTCCATCAGCATGGGGTTTTAAGCCAAGAACCAGATCAGGCCTCTGACATGGCGAGTAGTAGTTAAACCGCGCATGCAGTTGTGCTTGTTTTCCAAATTGTTCCAAGAAGCAATTTTCTTCTAGCTTCAACGACTTTGCCATAGCTTTGGAGGTAATTTCTGTGACCCTTATCATTTTCTCAGAATAATCTTCTAAGACCTCTCTGCACAACAAATGTAATCAGATAGCTACGCGTATGAGTGAACCAGCATTAAATACGAATAACAAAATACTCAAATTTGTTCATGGAGCTAGCTGAAAAAATGCGCAATCTGCCTAACATGCCTATGATTAAAACCATGATGTTACCACTTACCATATGTCATGTCACTTCTGATTCACCACTTATTAGTTGCTTATACTGTTCAGTCTCTGAGTTTACAGTATTTGTGTACAACACATGATTAGCTGAGTGCTGAGACAGAAAACTGGAACTTGGCGGAAACCTTAGCTACTAAGCAAGAAAGCAGGCACCTTGCAGGCATACGTGACTTCACTTATATACATTGACAGTGTAAAGACTATTCATGCATTTTAACTTGTAGCAGGTGACCTGTGTTGTTCTCCCGGTTACTAATCAGTCTACTTTTGGGTGGTTACTTGTAGTGATATTTTAGGTGACAATAATGTAAAAATAGAGTTAAATATTAGCTTGCTAGATCATTCTTGTCTATAGACTGTTACTATAATACTCTAGCTATCTTACTAAAGTGCAACTGATCAACTATCCATTAACCTGAATGATATTGGGATTTGTGGCCAGAGGTTATACTGTCTTCCATCTTCAGGGAACACCTCGAGGAAGAGACGATCAGACCAATCAAGGAACTGACCTTGTTCTGGAACAGGATCAGCTCCATAACCTTGGAAATCAACAACTGATTTAGCATACTTGTTCTTCTCTTCCATTGGCTGGTTGAAGAATTCCCTTGAAACTTGGCGGATCTTGTCCAGTAAAGAAGCTGAAATCCCATGTGCTATTCCCTGCTCATCAAATGAATATCAAGAAAGTTGCATAGTAGAAAGAATTCAGATAGAGTATTTGGAATGTCCTAAACCTGAAAACATCCCCAAGAAGATAGAGCTGATCCAAGTTTCTCCAACTCTTGTTCGCATTCGTTATCTAATGTTGGTGAAGAAGACAGGAGGTTTAGATATTATAGGAATTGGAGAAGTATCCATGATGTCTTCTTTTTCATCAACATCTTCACCACTTCTGCAAATATAAGGTCGTAGTGGCTCCTCCCCATGAAGGACCATTTCTTGAACTCTTTTTGACAGCAACTCTTCTACAGGTGGAACTGAATATGCAGCCATGCTTATGCTATGATCAAGTAACACTATCCAATGGGTTTCCAATTAGAAGTTCAGGTTCCAGAGTGATAGCATTATATGTAGGCATAATACAGACACTTAACTTGGCCTTAGTTGGCAAGTAAGTACTCCAACTTTGAGAGTGGACATTTAGATACCTCAACTTGTCTCCACTCTGTCTGTTGAACACTCCAACTTACAAAAAATGATAATCTAGACACTTTTAAAATTTATATGTCACATCAGTATTGGGTGTCCACGAGATACAAGAAACGAGTTGGAGTGTTTCTTAACAGAAGATAAGGATCAAACGTAAGATTAGTTCAACACAGCTAGGAAAGACAAATGCAACTGTCCCCACATGTGGAGGGGCCTGCAGACTGCAGTCATGCTAATCCAAAAACTACCCGTACTTGCATAATTTACCCTCGGGAAGAGAAATTTGAGAGGAAAATGCTGTGTTGCTTGAACCATTAGAATATATTTAGCTCAAAACAAAGAAGCCAAAGACTTTTTGACATGTTGCCCTAACTGTCTCTTGCAAGCTGTAGCAGATCTAGAGCACAAACTATAGATACGCAGAAACCCAATAGCTTTTAGGCATATAAATATTCGATTGTGAACTCAACTACTATTGTACATTAACTTGAAGTTGTACTAAAAAGCAATAAACTTCAAATCCTGAATACGTCTATGCAACGGTGGCCTAAAGTTTTTGAAATATAAAATTATCTATTTATGCAACTGCAAGTGGCCTAAAGTTAGCTTTCTAATAAGGCCCAAACCATTTTCTGCTTTGGGAACATAGCTTGGAATAAATTTTTTGCTACTAATACATCTTTCATCCTCAGATAAAAGGCTATATACTCGGAGACATTAACCATGAGATTTCTGTGAGCTTAAAGGCCGGCTTTACTCTTGCAATTCTTAAAAAGAAATCAGCAACATTGATATACATGGAAAATGCGATGAAAAAGAAACAAGAAAAGGACGAATATCCATCTTCTAAGACCTCATAGATTTGATATTTTAGACTTGAAACATGTATGCTGCAAATTATATGCCATGTCTTACATTCAAGAACAATGTAGAAACTATAACTTCAGTAATTACTGTGAGATACGTAATAGAACTACATTTGTGGCAAAACTACTGAATTTGGTCACAAGGTACAGAATAAGCTAACATATTTTGCATGTTACAGTAAACAAACGAAAATTAGAATCAAATTTCTCCACGATAACCTCCAGAGCCAAAGTAGTCCCGCCTTGAATTTGCAATTTGTTGGCTTCTTTGGTGGTCTAGTTTGGGACAGTCCCGGATACGATGACCAAGCCCACCACAATAAGCACAACCCTTTACTCCACTTGCATCTGTGATGGCATCTACATCATCCATGGGATCATTGAGTTCTGCAAGGACTGGAGGGATTCTCTGCTTTGCTTCTTGCAGCAAGTGCTTTAGATCAAGCAGAGTTGTTTCACTCTGGTTCTTGTTAATAAATGTGGTGGCAATTCCTGTTTTTCCACATCGTCCTGTTCGTCCAATCCTGTGCACATAGTTTTCAATTTCAGCAGGCATATCATAGTTAATCACATGTTGGATATCAGGAAAATCCAGCCCCTTTGAGGCAACGTCAGTGGCAACTAAAACATCTTTCTTGCATGCTTTGAAAGCTGCAATTGCATATTCTCTCTCTTCTTGATCCTTGCCTCCATGAACAGCCACAGCTTCAACTCCTTTTAAGAGCAAATACTCATGGATATCATCCACATCAGCTTTATTCTCACAGAAAACCAAAACAGGAGGTGGTGTTTTTTGCAAGCATTCGAGAAGGTAAACAATCTTGGCCTCCTGCTTCACATACTCCACTTCCTGGATCACATCAAGATTGGCTGCTCCAGCTCTGCCCACATTCACAATTACTGGTTTAACTAGTGCATTTCTTGCAAAGTTTTGGATCTTTGTGGGCATTGTAGCAGAAAATAGAAGAGTTTGTCTTTGAGCTTTGAAATGATCAAACACCTCCCTAATATCATCTTCAAAACCAAGATCTACCAGTCTGTCAGCCTCATCTAGCGTTAAGTATCTGCAAGAAAGCAACAATTTGGTAAGCACTCAAAATTTTCAAATAAAAAAATCTGGAATAATCATGAAATGTTTCACATATACAAAATAACATATGGCTGGAAAATGTAGATTTGTTGCTAACTGTTTGTGACACATAACGCAAAGGCATCTCTCTTTTCCTCTCATATGTGAACCCAAGTAAATGTAGCAACAGGTACACACAGAATAGAAGAACATATTGTATGAAACACCCACCGGCCAGAAACATACACGTGAGTAGGGGTGTGCATTCCGTTTTTCGGTTTGGTTTTACACTATTCGGTTTGGATTTTCGGTTTTTGGTTTTGTAAAAGTGTAACCCAATCCGATCCCAAAATAAATTTGGTTTGGTTTGGTTTTCCTCTATTCGGTTCGGCTTTTTTCGGTTTGGTTATTCGGTTATGTCAATAATTAATAACATATATAACCAAAGTAATAATATTTAATCCCTTAAATATTCTTTCTAATATAAATCATAACTAAAACTTAAAACACAATACTTATAAGTATACCTATTATAGATGTAATTCAAACATAAAATATAAACGTAATCATCATGAAAGACAATAACCAAAAAGGGACAAAAGTGGTTAACTCCAACTTAATTCTAAACCTAGACATTATATATATATATATATATATATATATATATATATATAATTTGGTTTTTTTCGGTTTTTATTTTTTAAAATCCGAAACCAAACCAAAAAACCAAACAAAGTAATTTATTAATCCAAAACCAATCCAAATAAAAATTCGGTTTAATCCGAATAGTGCACACCCCTACACGTGAGTTATAATAATGAAGGCCTATGATCCCAAATGGTGATGATCCCAAATGGTGGATTAATTACAACAACAACATACCAATGTAATCCCACAAAGTAGGGTCTAGGAAGGGCAAAAGTGTACGCATACATTACCCTACCTAGGTAGAGAGGTTTACAATAGACCTCACCTCAAGGAAATAAACAATCCAAATCAATATAGAGAAAAAAATAACGGAAATGAAGAAGTCATGGCAAACACTATATATCAACCTGACAAAGCATCTTGAATAGTAATCATAACAAGATAAAATGATAATCAAAGTACAAAAGACAACAGATAATAGCCAAACTCAAGGGACAAGAAACTACAAGACTAATACTACAACTAATAGTACGGCTAATAGCGCAGAGGAATAATTGAGACAGCTCTTAACTATCTAACTAACCTTCTACCCTAATTTGTGTCCTCCATAACCTCCTAACTAAGGTTATGTCCTCAGTAAGCTGAAGTTGGTCATGTCCTATCTATTCACCTCTCTCCAATACTTCTTCGGCCTTTGTCCTTGTAATGGTGGATTAATTAGAAGCCTGTATAAGTAACTAGCTGATTTTGAAGACACTTTTCTAAGCAACAGAACATTTTTAACTACATCAGACAGAACCAGGGACAAAATATCGCCATTGCCCTATGTTTTTTCATCAAATACTGATTCTATTTAGCCGATGTCCCATCCAGATGAAAAGTCCCTATTTAAGGGGGGTAATTCCAAGTTAAAACAGAACATTTAAGAGACTCTTCAGATAAATTTCAACTAAAAGTGTTGGTCCTCACCTGCAGTTGTCAAGGTTCATTTTCTTCTTCGCTAGCAGATCTTTCAGTCTTCCAGGAGTAGCAACAACAATATGAACTCCCCTCTTCACAACATCAACTTGGGACTTCATATCAACTCCACCAATACACAGCAAAGGCCTCAATTCCGGATAGCCACTCTCCATCAGAGGTTCTATAAACTGTTCTATAACTTCATATGTCTGTCTGGCAAGCTCTCTAGATGGACAAATAATCAAGCCAAATGGTCCTTCCCCAGGGGCAATAGGCATCAAGATTTCTTCTTGCAATGCCACCATGATAAGTGGCAGCACAAAAACTAATGTCTTACCTGAACCTGTGAAAGCTATACCTATCATATCCCGACCTGATAAAATTACTGGAAGCCCCTGCACTTGGATTGGCGTTGGCTGAATAATACCCTTTGCTCTGAGTTTCTTCAGAATTGGTTCAGGGAACCTCATATCCTTGAAGTTCTTGATTGGTGGGGTAACATCATCCCCTTCCACAATGATATGCCACTGTTTTCGAATGGCATCACAAGCTTTCTTTGAGTTCCGTCTGATGGCTAAGGGTGGCTTCCATCCAGTGCACAAAGGCTCTGTATAAGTAATGCCCTTGGCTAGTTCCCGAACAGACATCAACGTTTTCTTATCAGATAAATGCTCAATCATCTCCTTCTCTTGTTGAAACACTTGTTCAGCATGACTTATCTCAGGTTGCTCTTTCTTGAGCTGAGATGCCTTGACAAGTAAACTCGGTTTCACTTCAACAAGCTTTATTTTCTCCTCTTCTTCTTCAAATGCTTCAGATTTCCCCTTGCGCTGAAGGATCTTTTGGGCCTCAATTGCCCTGCGCTTTGTAACTGGTACATACTCAACATAATCATCCTCCTCTTCAATCTCCTACAAGCACAACACTGAGTAAGAAGAGCTGGAATACTCAGATATCACTTCTTAGTACAACACAAGAAAATAGGTACGATCCATTACACACAGAGAACAGACAAGCATGAAATATTGTTCTCCAAGCTTAAAAAGGTTCAATATACCAAAGAAGCAGCGTATGCGGAGGACCCAAAATCAGAATAAACTACATAATATACTCTAATACACAATACAATTAGCAAAACCCCATAAAGCAATCAAAATCAATTTCTCAAAAAAATCCCAAATTTGAGATATCCCAAATGATAAAATGCAATATTTCACTGAAAAACTGAGAAAGCAAGAATCTACATACCATATTTAAGTGGTCTGCCATCTGAGCAATAGCTAAAAAGTGGGTAATTGCAGAGAAACTAATTTCCGCTCGAGTAATTGCTGGGAACTAAATTCCGGCGACCTGTCGGCGACCACTAGTATGTTGCTGCGTTAAATAAACTACGAGGTCCGTTGCCGTTCTGATGACGGATGAATCAATTTCAGGTATTTATAGGTCAGATTATAGTTTGCGACTGAATTTAGGATCCAAAAGATAAATAAGCCGACTTCTCCAAAAGAGAAAAAGAGTGGAAAAGAAAAAGGAATTTTATTGTGGTCTTTTATTTGCCCTTTAAATTCATGTTTTAATTTTGTCTTTTAATATTTTAAGAAATTAAAAAAAATAGCTGAAAATATTAACGAAGTCGAAAAAAAATGCATAATACACAAATTATGTTTTTTAAGAAAAATCACAATATACACCTTGTGTTTTTACAAAGACATAACTTAATTTCTATAAAATGTATGTCGATAAAATTAATATTAAAAAATTTTCACCAAGCAAAATTTAAAGTTGAGAATAGTCAAGCATAAGTTTAAGCCCAAATATTTAAACCGCACAGCACTATGTTAATTTTAGATACGAAATTACTTTTAGTCATTCCTAACTTATTTAAAGTTGAACAATCTTAAATTTTAAAAAATGAAATCTCTTGCTCTCCCCCGTATGAGTTTCATATTATTTGTGATGGGATTACATTTTAAAACTTTATAAAATTCGATAAGGAAACTTAAATAAGGCCTAATAATTTGTGCACTTGCTTAGAAAGAAAAAGAGAAAATAATCCTACCACCCATTCAAGCTTTTAACTTTTATCCAATCTATGGCCAATGCATTTCTCAAAAACCTCACCTTTCCATCACTCTGCAGAACCCTACATTCCGCCATATCCACATCTCCTAACCCCACAATTACCTCCATGGAAGTAGAAGTCAAGCTCCGTTTACCAAACGCCGTTACTCACCAACGTGTCTCCTCAATTCTCTCACCTTACCACCTCAAAACTCACGCCCAAGAGAACATCTTCTTTGACGGAGCCAACTCCGCACTCTCCTCCAAACTCGCCGTTCTCCGCCTCCGATTCTATGATCTCGACACCCAATGCATTATCTCCCTCAAGGCTAAACCCTTAATTTCAAACGGTATCAGTCGCATTGAGGAAGATGAAGAACCTATTGACCCTTCTATTGGCCGGGCGTGTGTTTCGGAGCCGTGGCGGTTACCGTTGATCGATTCTTCAAGGATAATACGGAGGGTGAAAGAAGAGTATGGAATTGGGGAAAAGGGTTTGGTTTGTTTGGGCGGGTTTAGGAATGTGAGAGCGGTGTATGAGTGGAACGGGTTGAAATTGGAGCTAGATGAAACGCATTATGATTTTGGAATGAATTATGAGATTGAATGTGAGAGTTGTGATCCTGAAAAAGCTAAGGATTTGCTGGAGGAGTTTTTGAAGAGTCATGGCATTGAATATTCCTACTCCAATGCTTCTAAATTTGCCATTTTCCGCTCCGGAAAATTGCCTAAGTAAGTAATAGTAGTAGTAATACTGTTGTTGTAGAACTTGGCGGAATTCGTTATTGGTGTATTAGAGAAAACATTATACATTCCTTTTCAACATTGATTCTTTTCCATAATTGATTATGAATGTGGCAACTACTATCACTATACTAGTGATGTTTCTAAAATTGGTTGTACTGATTATATATGGTAGCAGCCTCAGATTAAAATGGCAATGTGGAATGAAGATGAATATGTTTGATACAACATGAATAGTAAGAATAGAAGATGATGGTAATCGACAATCGTCATTAAGAAACTGTCTTGGAAAATCGGAATTTCTAATGCAGCAACTTGAACCTTTTGTTGAAGATACATTGTGTGTCATTATTGTCACCAGAGAGAGTTATTTTTCTGGGAGGACTAAATTTGAAGTTCAATTCTAGGTCCGTAAACCTGTTATGCACCCCCCTGGATTTAAAGGTATTTACTAATTCCCATGTTGCAGACAAGTTGGCTTCTTTGGGTCAAGTTTATTGATGCTTTACAGTTTTTACTCAATTGGAAGCCCTGCCGAGGCAAGTTAGAGGACTCGTAAATGTTGATAGATTGAACTTTCCTTGGGTTAGAATCATAAAGAGAAGACCTAGAATGCTGGTTTATGATCCACCTTAGGTTTATCTATTGTATTGCCACAATTTTTTGTGAGCCTTATTGATCCAAATCTCATAGAATCTATGGAACAGATCATTTCTATCAACTAATTCTAGGAATTCTGGAAATTTTAGTACGATCTATTCATTTTATCTTCCTATATGGTGGTTGATTATCTTCTTCCTCGTCATCCTCCTCTTCATCATCCTCATCGTCATCATCAGAATCGCCATCATCATCTTCGTCATCCGAATCATCATCACTCCCTTCATTTGCATCAGCATCATCTCCATCAGAATCCTCTTCATCATCATCATCATCATCATCCTCACTTCCTTCATCATCATCCTCTTCATCATTATTGGTGTCTTCATCATCTTCATGTTCATCATCATCATCAGTTTCACTTGAATCCTTGGGTTCATTATCTGGCACCGTAGCTCTTTTAAGCTCACCAAAAGGAAACCTATAATATGATTTGGGAATCCAATGAACACTCAAACTCTAATACAAACAACAAACAAAAAGGACGATAAATTGAGCAGGGAAGAACAGAATTTTTGATACCTCCTCTCTACTCCAACGAGGTCCGGGTACAAGCTTAGAAACTCAATCTACAAAAATGGCATCTGATTTAGCAACAATTTATCATTGAAAGTAAATAAAACAGTACTGTCTATACAAACTAGTCATGGAGCAGCAACTACAAGAACTATAAAGCAAGTTGCTCCAAACAATTCACATTTCTATTCCAAGAAATTTCTTGTCTTCTTCACTTCCGTTATTTCTTTTTGCGTATGCTTTGAACTGTTTTCTCTGAGCATCAAAAAAACAGTCTCTTTACTATTTTTCTTCGAGCCTAGGATATATCGGAAAAACAATCTCTTTACCTCCAAGGTAAGGATAAGGCGTACCTACACTCTAGTTTTGATACAAATACAGAGCTAATGTGGATAGGAAAAAGCTTCAACAACACAACCCAATAAAAGAAGTTCCAGTTCTTCATCACTTAAACTAAAAATGACATTAAGAGAAAGGGCTAAGAATTTACCATGAAGAGAAGAGAAAGAAGAGATTTTTGAGCAGTTTGAAGCAGCAATGAGCAAATCATTGTCTGCACAGTGACATTGCTGGTGGGAAATGTCTCCATGTCCATTGAAGAATGCTTAAACAAATATGTAAGAAAGACTCAGAGTTGGCAAGTAACTTTTGTTTTTTTGTCCAAAACGAAGACTTTTTATTTTAAAAGAAAAAATAAAGAAACCATGTGACCAAATCTAACTTTGTCTCCTCAACTGTCCAAGTGGATCCAAAAGATAAAAAGTATACTCTCTCCCTCCGTTCACTTTTACTTGTCACAATTTAACTTGACACATCTATTATAAAAATAATTAATGATACATGTGTTTTACTAAACTATCCCTTATTAAATAATGTCTTGAAAAATGATTTGGAAAATAAGTATTTAATGCCGAGGATAAAACATGGAAAAAATTATTGTCTTTTCTTGATATGTTAAAAGTGACAAATAAAAATGAAAATCTATTTTAGGGATAAGTGACAAGTAAAAGTGTGAACGGAGAGAGTAATTTCTTATTTTTTGTACCCTTCATCCAACATAGTTGTCCACTATACTATTTTGATATGTCCAACAGTACTTGTCCACTTTATGAAATCAATGGATAATTTTACATTTAGTTTATAATTTACCTTTATCATTAATTATAGTCATTTTTCTATTATATTTTTCTTAAGATATTGTATTTATTATATTTAAAGTTAAAGGGTGATATAGTAAAAATTATACTGTTATTTATAGTTTATTAAAAAATGTACAAAGTTAATACTAATAGTTATTTATAGTTTATTAAAAAATGTACAAAGTTAATAATAGTTATTTATAGTTTATTAAAAAATGTACAAAGTTAATAATAGACAAATATTAGTAATTGTAACCGTACTACCTAGTTTATTGGAATTTGCAGAAAATGCTTTTAACTTCCCAATAAGCACCACAAGAATATTCAGAAGCTCATACACCAATGAAAAAGTAGTGTTTTGTACAACACCAACCACTTAATCACCCTACAGTAGGACTACTCAAATCTCATTTCTTTTGTTTATCGGGTTTTTGGTATTGCTTTGGGACTCAATTAATTTGAATATAGATTTAAAAGTTTTCTTTAGAAGTAGAGTGATCCATACCAAAAACAGACTTCATTTTGAATCGAGGTTTCTAACTAAGAATTATAGAGTATTTATGATCCGGCCACAAACTTTGGTAATTAGGACCTCAAATCTAATGTTCATTGATAAATTAATACTCTTTTCGTCCATCTTTATTTGTCCACTATACTAAATATAGTTGTCAGATAATATTTGTCCAATTTGGAAAATGAAGAGATAATTTCTCTTTTTGTGTCTATTTTACCCTTGCTATTAACTGCTATTCAATATCAATACATTTTCCAAAGAATTAAATTTAATTTATTCAAAAGGTAATGTAGTGATATTACTCTATTATTTGTTGTTTCTTAAGTAGGGTATATATCTGATGTTGAAGTTCAGACATAAATGTTTCAAAGTTGCTTAGTACAAGCAATATGTTAAGCTTCTAAGATAAAATTTATAACTTCAATCGCATATTTCTGAAGTGATTATGAAGTGTCTAAACAGACAAAGTTTATAAACTTCAATTTATGTTGTAAGTGAGGTCCCAAAATTAGCTAATGCGCACTTGACCCCATTATTTTGCCACCTAATAGCATTGACTCAAAATAACAACATATTCTATGAAATTTCACGACTGGGATCCAGAGAGAGGCAGTCTAAAAATCTTAAAAGCTAAATTTGTGCCAAGGGTAAAGAAACAAGCTTTTGTTTGTGACAAAAAATCCAAATCGAAGGTTGCTTTTATCACATGGGTAACAGTAAATTTGATTTCAGTTTTTTGCCGGTCCGTGACCTATTTTCTCAAATAATAACACGATGAATGCTGTTAACTTTAGAAACAAAAAAAAACATTGATAAATCATTATTTTGTGCACTTTTAAAAGCATAGTTGTTTGTTGGGTTCTTTCAAGAAATCACATGACAATAATACTACTACTTTTGTTTAACTTCAAAAGGAACATTATGTGTTTCACTAACCTATGAAACATCTACAGGGGTTCTTGCTTACAATCATTTCTACCCTCTCCCAATAAATGTATTCTACTTTTTTTTTGTTTAAAGCAAAATCGTAGACGTAAATGGATTCAAAATTTAAAATCAGTGAGTGTAACGTACAGTTTGACTATATAATTTAAAATTAGTTGACGGAGTATTGTCTAAGTTAGTATTGTGAACGTCCATACTGATGTTAGTAACACATTGGAAATTAGCAAGGATGATGGCACGCAAAACCTGACTTTGCAAATTAATTTGAGTCAAACCTCATTTTAATTAACAATAATATATGCATAATCAAACCTATACTTTTGTACCTTGTGGAGAAAGCAGATTCTCAGTCAAAGATCTGGAAAAGGTTTGTTCCATTTACTCAAAATGTATTCCCAACCGACAAATTCTTGGAGGGAAAAAATAGAGAAGAAATAAAAGTCTTTGAACATGAAAAGTGCTTATTTTGCAACCAAGGATATAGCCTAACCGTCAATGAAAAGTGCGATGAAAATTGTAAGAGATTAAGATTTAAATCATAGCAGAGACAAATGTTTGGTGATTTCTTCTCATCTGTCTTAACCTTTATTAGTTAAGTTATATGATATGCTTGTGCTAGGTGAAGTAAGCAAGTATCTGATGAAATAGTCAAGATGCGAACAAGCTAACTCTAGCATCACCGTTATAAAAAAAAGACATTGCTTAGAGGAAGGGAAAAATTTATTACGTAAACTATAGTACACGTGAATTCATGGTCTCCTCATAAATCTAGAAATTTTATGTATATATCCTAGAATTCATGTAATATTACATGTTGCAACTCATACTTGAATGGTAAATTATTTAATTTAAGAATTTAGGGATCATTTCCCACTTGATATTTTATTTAGTGGACCACCAATATTCTAGAAATTCTAGATTCGTCTCTGCGAGGTTAATTAGTGTCTAATTCTCAATAATATATATACTAGAAAAGGTTTCCATTGCATTTTGGAGCGACTATTCCATTGAGCAAAAGGCAAAGGAAAAGTAAAAGCAGAGTAATTCAAATGTATCCAAAACTTTTTCCACGCCGTGATTGATGGCCATATATAAACTCAAGATTTCTTATTTTTCACTCTTTTTGAAGTGTCACAATTGATAATTTGCCCAATTTTGGAGGGAACAAACATGGCCTTCATGAGTGAAAAGACCCCACAAAACCATATGCAATAATCCCATCTTTTTTCTTTTTAGTGATCATTCTCAAGTTTCAACTACCACCTCAACAAAAGCAAAGCCACACACGCTACATCAAAATTGATCTTTAGCGACAGTTAATTAACGACAATAGCTTAATTACCGCTAAATATATATATTTTTAGCAGCAATTAGTACTCTTTGTAAATGTTCATAAAACCTATAACGACATTGAATATAAAGACAATTAACTAATGTATGTAAAGAGTTTAACACTTTTTATTAATGTGTTTATCAATTGTCGCTAAAAGCTTTTTTGTTGTAGTGACGCAACACACATTAAGGGGGAATAAAGCATAGTCCAATTTCTCAACATTTCATTAGCCTTTTACCTTTACCTTTTCTTTTTTCCCTTTAAGATGTCTCAACTACTTTCAACTTTATAAATACCTTCAAACACCTCTATTTTCCTTTCAAAAACAAAAACATGGATTGGTTTTCTTGGCTGTCAAAAACAGAGCTAGAGCCATCTCTTGTTTATGAATATGGTCTAGCATTTGCTCATAACGAGCTAGAACAAGACGATATCGCGTATTTCAATCACGAGTTCCTTCAAAGCATGGGCATTTCTATAGCCAAACACAGGCTAGAAATCCTCAAACTTGCCAAGAAAGAAAGAGGAAATGTTCCGAATTCAATGTCAAAGATTCTCCTGGTAATGAAACGTACAAAGAAACGTTTTTCAAAGTATTTTAGGACGTGGATTCATCGCGATGAATCAGCACTTGCACTTGTGTCAAGAAGAAGTTACAGTTCAAGAATTTGGAAGAGGACAAAAATGATGAAAAGGAACAAGAGTGTTGTGGCACCAGCAAAACAGAGTAGTAGAAGTAGTACTTTGCTGCTTACAAATGGTAGTCCAATATTTATGTCGAGTTCATTAAGAATGGATAGTTTTTCGCGCGCGATGGTTCATGAGAAGATGGAGATTGATTGTGGTGATTATTGGGGTTCCTCTGTAGTTGAAGAGATCAAGTGGGATTCAATGTTTCAAAATATGAAACCAACTTGAATTTTCTCTTTCTCTTGTTTTTGGTTATGTAAGATAGCTTTAATTGGTGAGAGATGACTTTTTGGTTCTTTCACCAAATTTTCAAGATTTGGTTTGGTTGAGTGTTTTAGTTAGTGCTTTTGTGTTGGTGGTGGGGATAAAAACAGAAATCCACTGATTGTGTGTTGAAATGATGAGGATCTGTATTAGAAATGAGATTCTCTTCATGATTTTGCATATTTATTATTACTATCTCTTTATCCAAGTGTTATTTGAATCCATCTTCTAAATTTATGGAAACATTCCCACAAGTGAGGTACGAGCACGGTAAAATATACGCAGCCTTAACCCTACATCTATGTGGTAGAGAGGTTGTTTCCAATTCCTCGACAACCCTTCACCTTCATCTAGGATTCAAACCAGCAATGTGAATGATCTCACATAGGCGGAGTTTGAAGCCATTACATATCAAACAGAAATTTTCTCTACTGCAAAAATTGTACAGTAACACACTGATGGAATATTTGTATTACATCATTTCTTGAAAGTACTCATAAGTTCCAAGAAAGAAGAGGAGCAAATGTTTAAAAGCATCTCTTTGATTTGTGAACTACAAAATTAATCCAATATAAGATTGGAAAAAGGGGGGAAATAAATGCTGAAACTAACAAAGTGAATGATCAAGCACAAAACATTCTGTATAGATAGTAAATAAAAAATTCTGGGGAACTAGAACAACAATCAGTCTTTAAGAAAGAAACTCATGTTACAATTGAAGTTCTGGAATTCAATTTCCCATATCACCATAACGCAGAAAAATATAAAAGAGATGAAAATGAATCATCAATAGCTGCGACCCCAGTATGTCCACTTCTTAGCAGGTTTACCCGAGGCAAAGCACAAAGTACCTACGATGGAGAAGAGATCGCGGTTAAATATGACACAGCAGTACTATCCAACTTTGAATTAACAAGACCACCCAAAAAAAACAGTATAATTGGCAGGTCCACATATATGCATTAGGAATGCTTACTTTAATTTTGATGTGTTTTAGGTAATAGTTTATACATACTACAAGAATAAATAGAGTACCTTCAGGCAGCTCAGGCTGGTCAAATGGAGAACAAAGAGTCTTCGCTGCACCCATCTCCCCTTTTGTGCGTGTCTTTACTTCTTTCTCAACATCCTATTAGAAAGTACCAAAGTTTATATGAAACGAATTCAAGCAGGAAATAGCAAATCTAGCTGGGAACAAAGGGATCACCTCAATTCCAGAGGAACATGCATCAGGGATAACAAACTTACTAAGTATGCGCAAATTCATATTATTATCACAAGAGAAGGAGAACCTGCACTAACCATGAAACAAAGTGCTCTAGAAGGATTTCTTAGTTTAAGTTCATTATCATTTTAATTATTTTTTGGCTGTGAAAAGGTGGCATCTTTGGCAGGGTAGCCAAAATAGTCTATTTCAGCAGCTCAGGCATTAAAACAACAACTGCAACTAGCACATCTTAACCTGTTTCGATAAAATTAAGTGCATGATCTGTCCAAACCAGACCTTCATTATTTGTTCTGCATACACGTGAGTTCTTCTTAATCAATCATGGAAGTGGTGCCACTTAAATTGGGACAGAGGGAGTAGTATTTACTTGGAGCACTTTTGGAACATTGGTCAACCACAAAGTACTACTCTATATACACAAATATGCTTCTAAAACTAATTAACCACAAGTGGCACTATCCAAAAGTACTTTTTCGAAAAGTACTTTTGACAAAAAAAAATTCAAAATAAGCTGATTTTAAAAGCTTGGCCAAATAGACTAAAAATCAACCCTACTACTGTGTGGCATTTCAAGATCAAAACTTGCTTGATGCAGTCTTAAAGAAAAACTCCATATGTTTCCGGCCCAAAATTGAGGAAATTAAAAGATTCAGCTCATATGCAACTAGTTTGAAAGGGTTTTACCTCCTCATCACACCAAGGAGCCAATATCAATTTCTTTTGGCCCAATGCTTCTGCAAATTCATCCCAGGTCTTTACAACCTGAACACAAGCTTCCCGCTTTTGTTTTGCAGTTTCAAATAGATTTTGTTGGATAGAATCGAGCACATCGTTTACTTGTTCGACTAAGTTTGCCACAGGAATATCAGTTTTGGCTCCATTGTCACGGCGAACAGCTCGTACCTGGGAAAGTGATTTAGAGTTTTGGATTAAAAAACATAAAACAAATGTACAGCATTTTATTTGGCTGCTTTCACAGCAAACAAAAAAATTTCACCATAACACACAACATTTCTACCTTTTGTTTTCATAAACAGCTGACTTAGTAGAAAGTAAACTATAATTCTCACCTGGTTATTTGCAAGATCTTTTGGTCCTATTTCAATCCTAAGAGGGACCCCCTTCATTTCCCAGTGAGAATATTTCCAACCAGGCGAGTAGTTGTCTCTGAAGTCAGCCTCAGCACGAATACCTGATTCATTCAAGCTTTTAACAGTGGCAGCACAGGCATCATAGATTCCTTGAGTATTAGCATCCTTGTATGGCACAGGGATAACAACTACTTGAGTTGTTGCAACTTTAGGAGGTAAGACCAGGCCTTTATCATCTCCATGAGTCATGATCATCACACCAATCTGTCACGGTACCAGAAAAAAGGAGGGAGAGTTAGTTTGACATCTGAATTATCAATAGAGAGTTGTTCATTAGCATGGAATGCCCACCGTTCTGGTAGTATAGGCCCAGGAGTTCTGCCAGACCATAGCCTTCTCTCCCTTCTCATTTTCAAAATTTATCTCAAACATCTTCGCGAAATTTTGGCCCAAACAGTGTGAAGTTGCACCTTGGATACCACGACCAGTATTAGGGATAAAAGCCTAGCAAACAAAGCCATGAACCATGTAAAAGAATGACAGATAAGAACAATTTTACCAACAGTTAAAGGAACAGCCAGATACTGTCCCTGACAGAAGTATCATCTTCTATACCTCTACTGTAGTCGTGTAGAGTCCTCCAGCAAACTTCTCAAGCTCACTTTTCTTTCCCTTACTTACTGGAACAGCTAAGAATTCTTCATATATACGTCTATACAACTCCAAGATGTCAAGAACCTGAAAAGACCGTCAGAATATCAGCATTTATTAGAGAGTAGTACTAGTAAGGCTAGATTCTTACACGTCAATTCACAATCCTTTCAAGGATAAATCAAGGCACCTCAGTTTCAAGCAACCAATTCTCAGTACAGCAATTTAATAATACAGAATTTGCTTAGACAAGTATTGACGAGATTAAAAGAAATCACTGCAAACAAAAGATGCACAAGTCAGAGACACCAATAACGAATCTTCACTGATGTTGGGAGAACGCTAGGTGATAACAATCTCCAAGTATTTTTCAATTGCTGTAGTAACTTTCCAGCAACACCAAATAAGAAGGAAAACAATCCTGGAAGCTAAAGAGCTGTACAACTATCCACCAATAAAAAGGCAGTGGAAACTCGCATTTCCCAAAGTTTCAGCCTAGGCCAACAGTCGCAATTTTCACACAAGCAAAATTTGTCCATGAAACAAAGCCTATAAAAGCCCAATTTTGACAGAAAGTGGGACCACATCGATACATGAAAATGGCGTATTTGCATGTTGTGATATTCGTCCCTAATTCTACAAGTGATTATTGTATACATGGGGACACATTTCCATAATACAATTGAGTTAAGTCTTTTCACAAATTTAGAAGCACATTTCCCTTTTGGAATATCCCAAGATCCTTCTCAAGTTAAAAGAGGTCCTCTTTCGTCCTTCCAGTACAATTTTTCCTCCAATTTAAACCTGAATGAAAAAGGTAATACATAACCCTCATTTGAATTGAAACAAGAGCAAAACATTTACAACCTTGCTTTGCATCAGTATAATGTTCATTTCTAGACAGATTAACAGGCACTGATATCATCTCATGCCAAGACAGGTGAGCAAGCTGGTCCATGTAACTCAGACTAATTGTCAACTAGAATAGGAATTGTCCTAGAAGTAAAGTGTCTTGTGGTGCTGCCTTGAGCTTAGAAAAACTATAGTTCTCATACTTCTTCGCACCATTCCAAACAGAACAAGCAAATACTATTTTCTCATGATTAATATTAACTGAAAAGAATAGAAGAAATCTCATTCAACACTATGTCCAAGCATGATACAACCACAAGCCTCATGGTTTGATGCAAACAGGTCCAGAAAGATTAGTTTTTCAACATAGAACTCCAAGCATAGGACAAAGGACGGAGTAGGAATAAACAGAAAAATACTTTTACAAATTACTAAATTTCAGTTAGCATCCAATGCTTTTGAGCTATGTACTACTCTGTATAGTAATTTTAAAGAAGCTTAAGAAAAAGATCAGTTTTGTTTAAGAAAAAAGATAAATGACTCAATTGCATACTCTAACATATAACCAAATACCTCTTCATCTGCCTCCTCCTTAGTTGCAAAAGCAGTGTGACCTTCTTGCCAGAGGAATTCACGGCTCCTGAGTAAGGAACATGTGCAAAAAGTGTTACACACAGCTTGAAGATCTCAAATGAATAGGTGGTTTTTGTTTATAATGTATAAGATAACTATACATAAGGAGAAGTGAAAGAAAGGAGATGACAATTAGGTCCATCCTCCCCAGAAAGACTAAAGCAAGTCGAAAAACAAATGGTTGCAGTCAGCACACCAATTTTTTGATGAGAGACAGGCGAAAAAAGATAAAAACTTCGAAAAGCAAACCTGATGAAGGGGGTGGGGTTGCTAAACTCCCATCGCACAACGTTGCACCACTGGTTAAGTCTCAAGGGCAAGTCACGATGTCCCCTAATCCACTTCGAGAAATAAGGATACATCACAGTTTCACTTGTTGGTCGAATCGCAATGGGCACCTCCAGATCAGAGTCTCCAGATTTTGTAACCCAAGCAACCTGTAGAACGAACACAACTGGTTGAGCATAGTTGATGGAGAAATGCTATACAATGTTAGATTGCTTATGAGAATG